AGGAGGGAGGGGGAGGAGAATGAAGAGGAGGAGGAGGAGGAGGAGGAGGAGGAGGAGGAGGAGGAAGAAAGCAGGGAGAGGAGCAAGAGGAGGAAGAAAGGGAAGAGGAGAGGTGGGAAGGAGGAGGGGAAGAAGAGGAGGAGGCGGAGGAATTCACTGAGCCTAAGAATAATGATGCTGATTGAGGAGGAGGAGGGATAGGAGGAGGAGAAGAAGGCAGAGTAGTAGGGGAAGGAAGAGGAGGACGACCACGAGGAGGATGCACCTGCTGAGCTTGACGCTGATGACCACAATCAAGGATGAACAGGAACAGGGTGAGGCAGAGAATATTCGAGGAAGGTGCAACAATAGTGAAAGACAAACGCCTCTTTTCAGTTACCCAAAAAGTGTTGAACAGAAAGTTCACATCCATCCGTGTTCTGTTCTGTCCAATCAGTGGCGGCGATCATCCGCTAGGGAGCTATGGGTACACTACCGATGATAAGTTAGAAACGCCTTCGGTTCTCCGATCATGAGTCGGGACTCTCTGTACATCACATCTTAGTATTTTACTAGCTGAGCTGCTGACGTCAATTTACTGTGTAGTATGTAGTAAATTTTCTAGACCTATTTTGTGCTTCCCAATTTCTCAGCAGGCAGCTGTCTGTGTAAACAACAGGAAATTGAAGATCTTCGAAAACAACTGTTTTGTCCTTCAGCACAGTTGTGAAAACTGGGATGATTCAGCGATACATAATATAAAAGAGAGACGAGCATGGCCGATCGTGCCAAGGATGTAATACGCAAATCAAGAAACGAAATGGATTTAGTGAATCAGTTGGGGTCAAATCACTCAAAGGGTCTAATTCACGGACTGCACCGCTGCGAATACAATCGCCGTAGGAACATAGGGTCCGCTCACCCCAGCCTCTCTCCTCGCCACATCCCCCACCCCCACCCCATAACCCTCACTTCGAACCTAGAGGGGTGGGGAGGGAGTCGCATAGGGGGCCTACATAGATCATCTGGATAATCAAATCGCCAACTGCTGAAGGGACTGTCATATGCCTAGTGTTCAGGCTCTACAACAACCTGGAATTAAAAAAAAAGAACAAAAAACGTGAATGCATGTAAGTGATG